TAGCAAATAAAGTTTTGCCTTAAAGTAAATGTTTTTGCCTTAAAGTAAATATTTTTTGCCTTAAAGCAAATATTTTCACCTTAAATAAAGATATGATTCGAATAAAGAATTACACGCAACCTGAAGAGTTTGCATATGCTGATCAGCATCCTTTGCTACCCAAACATCCCTTCAGACTTTTAATCACCGGACCTTCAGGGTGTGGTAAGACAAACTTGCTTCTTAACTTCATCTATGATTGGTTGAAGTTTGACAATCTCTACGTATGTGCTAAAGACATCTTTGAGCCCAAGTATTCATCTCTACAAGAAACATACACGCAGTTTTTAATGATATAGAGGAAGATGATATTCTTAGCCTTAAAAAAGTTAAGAAGGTTGATAAAGAAAAAGTTTTAGAAATGTTTCACAAATTCAAGAAGGAAACATTATTCACGTCAGAGTTGGGCGATTTTATAACAGTAGATGAACTTGATCCTAACGTTAAGAATCTAGTTGTATTCGATGACTGCGTGACAGAAAAGAAGCAAAAAGTCATAGAGGACCTATTCATAAGAGGTAGGAAGAAAAATGCGTCCATCATCTATATATCTCAATCATATTACTCAACACCCATCAACATACGCAAGAACTGTAACTACTTTATCTTCTTTAGACTCCAACCAAGAGAGGTTAAACAAATCCTGAGGGAAATCGATGGTAGTCTCACCAGCGAGGAGTTCGATAGTATGTACAAAAAGTGTGTCACGAAACCTCATGATTTTTTCATGCTTGATTTAGTTAACCCTGAAATGAGGTATAGGAAATGTTTTTTCTTTAAATAAAACATGGAACAAAAATTAGAGTCATGCTTGTACGCATACAGAAAAAGCTACAAATTCTACAGTGATGTTAGTCTGTCTCTGACAATTGCGAAGTTCTTGTTTGGTACTTCGAGTTTGACAGCTTTCGCTCTGCTTCCCTTAGCATCCTTGAGCATCGTGGCCAGTGTCATAGAGATTATTGATAAATCCTTGCATGTCGCAGAAAGGAAAGAAGAATACAAGTTTGCCTACAAGTTTTATAAGTCTTTACTAAATTGCTTGAGAGCAAAGACTATTTCGGAGGAGGAAGCTTTGATTAAAGAGCAAGAATTTATTAAGGACTTGAAGTACTTCCCCATGGAAAAATATTTAAAGGAGAAAGGTTTGAACGGGTACGAAAAATAATTTTCTATTCTTAATAAATGAGCAAACAAGATAGAAAGATTAAAGGTGGAGATTTAGTCGGTTGGATGCAAGATAAGCTCAATCCACCAGAAATGCATCTTCCTGGTTATCAGTACTGTGGACCTTTTACAAAGCTTTCTAAAAGATTGACTAGAGGGGATCCAGGAGTTAACAGAGTAGATAAAGCATGTAAGAAGCATGACATAGCATACAGTCAAACAAAAGACACTAGATAGAGACATGTTGCAGATGAAGAGCTTTTAAAGGATTTAGATGCCATTGAAAACCCAAACAGCGGATTTTATCCACTCGGAGAAAAAAACAAGCTAGGGCTATCATCCGACCTATCATAAAAACCAAAAGTTTTTGGACTAGGTGCTATTGTGACATATTGCTTGATTTGTAAAAAGAAGACAGGTACACTAAATGTTGAAAATTCGGTAACAAGCAACGGAAGGCCTATTATGAAAGGAAAGTGTGAAAAGTGTGGATCAAGGAAAAGTTCTTTTTTAAAGTTGACGGGGTAACTCAGAACACCCCTAGACTGAGAGATGTGTACTATGATCCTGAAACTGGATATTGCGGCATCAAGGAGCTTCAGAGGAAGGTGCATGTTCCTAGAAAGGATATCGAAGAGTTCTTACACCAGCAAGATGTTTATACCAAACACAAACCACTTATCCGTAAATTCAAAAGAAGGAGAACTTACGTATCACACATTGACGACCAATGGCAAGCAGACTTGCTATTTTTAAAACCATTATCAAGTTCTAATGATGGTAACAACTACTTACTAACAGTCATAGACATTTTTAGCAAATATGCTTGGGCTATACCAGTTCGCAGAAAAACGGGAGAAGAAGTTACTATAGCGTTTAAAAAGATCTTTAAGGAAAGAATTCCTCAAAAAATTCAGACAGACAAGGGGACCGAGTTCATTAACAAAGAGACGCAACAACTGTTTAAAGAGAATAATATTCACTGGTTTACTACTGAAAATGTCGAAATCAAGTGCTCCATAGTGGAAAGGTTCAACAGAACTTTAAACGGTAAAATTAGAAAATATTTAGCAGCAAACAATACAAAAAGATACATAGATGTATTGAGTCAGTTAGTAAAAAATTATAACAATTCCTACCACAGAAGTATCAAAATGACACCTGTTGAAGCCAGTCTAAAAGAAAACAGTGGTGATGTGTATCACAATTTGTTTAAAGAAAAGGTCATACATAAACCTAAATACCAAGTAGGAGATAAAGTAAGAATATCAATATATAAGTCTGCCTTCAGAAGAGGTTATCAAGCAACTTTTACAGAAGAAATATTTGTCATTTCTGAAGTATTAGAAAAACTGATCCAATCACTTATAGAGTTCAGGATTTAAATAATGAAGAGGTTAAAGGTACTTTTTATGAAAATGAATTGGTAAAGTATGATAAGAAAGACAACGTATATAAGATTGAAAAAGTCATCAAAAAGAAAGGGGACAAATATCTAGTAAAATGGTTAGGCTATCCTGAGACTAGCTGGATTGATAAGAAGGATTTAGTTTATTTTTAATAGCCGACGAAAGCTATTAAAAATTATAATTCACTCATTGGGGTCATCGCACCCATATTTGTGCTCCAATTTAATGCATCGAAGATGGTTCTGCAGATTTCTTCATTCTGAGCTAGCGTTGTCATCAGTTTAGGTAGCTTAAGTGGGACCTCATAACCACCTCTTTTCCGTAACATTTGGTATAAAATATAGTCTTTGCTAATTAAGTTCTTACGCTTCGGATACAACTCTATGTATTTAGAGATAAAAGATGACAAATCAATCATAAGCTCTTCTTCGAAAGGAAAGTTATACTTACTTATCCATTTATAAAGATTTGTCATTCTGCTTTTCATTCTAGCTGTCTGCGCCTTTTCGAAATATAAATCTTCTAATTTGATAGGGGGTTTATTTGGATTATATCTCAGTTCTTCACCACATGCTTGGCAATTGTACCAGTCATCACCAATTACATATTTGTGTTCACACACTCTTTAGTTTTCAAGTCTGAAGAAACTTCTGTGTCTGGACTAAACAATCTCATTATTTCCTCCATTTCTTCCGTCATGTCCATATTTATTTTTAATAAGTCTTCCTTTTAACCCCTTTTAAATTGATTGATAATGTTGTTGTCATGTCTATACATAAGTGCATGAGGTGCAAAAATCAAAAAGTCTTGGTGCTGCCAGTTCTGGAGGCGGATCTCTATTGGCGGAGTTCGAAGAGGCATGAGGGATTCAGGACAGCAGTTGGGATAGGACCAGTTGGTGATACCCTTGAAATGTTCAGTACGTAGCCGAGCTATTATAGAGGAGAGGTTTCTTAGGGGGCCTTACCAAAATGCTGATCCTTCGCCTGGCGTCTGTACAGGTGACTTTTGAGGTTGCTCTTTATCGCATAGTGACCGTGAGCCAAGGTATGGATACCATCTGGTAATATGTGCCGCTTGTCATCATCTCCTGAAAGGGCAATCTTATTTACTTGTATGGAATGAATATTATGTTTTGTGCTTCTAATGAGATTCATAGATCTGTACTGTTTTTGATGTGAGAATAGACAGTTTTTGTAATCCTCGAAAGTAATTCTATTTTTCACTACACATTTCTTAATACCTTTTGATTTTTTTAACTAAGTCTTTTTCAGTTTTACAGGCATACATCTTAGATATTAAGCCAACGTACTCTTCCAAGATCCCCCCTGCATTTTCATCCTTCATCTTCCCCAAAACCTTTTTATTAACTCGCGGCATTCCATACCTATTATCCTCCGGATAATCAAACGTGTCAAAATGTTCAAGCATTCCTTTCATATCTTCATAGAAATCATCAGTTTTATATATCATAGATGAAACTATCCGTATCCATGTACAACAGTATAATGTTTTTCCCCATATTTAGGTGCCATCACATTATAGTGGAAGTCGTACATTAAAGTTTTGGATAAATCTAAGATACTCATTCCAACATAGATAGGTTTATCAAAGAGTACTGCAGTTTTGTGCATATGTATAGCGGCTAAATTTTCTTCAAATATGGTTCTTCCTTTAAAATTTGGTTTAGCAATAAGTTTTTCGGCTTTCTCCGCAATCACAGCACAGTTTGATATCAAGCCTTTTTCTAATATTTTCCATTGTCTTACCAAACACAGAGTTGTTCATGAGTTTATAGAAATCTTTTTCAAAGTCATTAGTTGCTTTAGTTCTCATTTCAGTGTTCAAGTCGATATATGTCTTCAGCCAAGGTGCTTGCTTATACTCTAATACCCTGTGTACTTTCTTCAATTTTAAGCCCATTTGTAAAAAATTGTTTCAAACCCCTGTAATGAACCACATAATGATCTTTGTCATATAAGGTTGTTAGTAATTTTGTATGTTTTGAGCCATCAGGAACTCTGTTCTCAGCTCCTAGTGGGAGGTCTGAATGGAGATCATGCAAATATTCAGGATATTCCAAGTCGCATTCTAAGATATAACCCACATCTGAATCGTCGGGGATCGCTGTTACATCTATATCGGTATCCCCCCACTTGAAGCCGCCATATGGTAGAAATTGGCTCATTGCCCATCCATACAAGTTATTGGCATCTAGGTAGATTAAATAATTAGATTCTTTACTTCTGTCATAGTCTTTCATATATTTATTATTAGCTTTCCCATACCTATTACAACACTGAGAAATCCCACCTCTGGTTCCTTTTTCTAACATTAAAATCATGTTATAATCAGTCAATAATTCTAATTCCTTTCCAGTGGTTTTTAACATAGCATCCCAAGAGAGACCGGGTGCCGTGGTGCAGTGAAGTACCATGCAGGATCCAATTTGTAAGTCCTTATGCAGACATCTCTAAAATGTTCCATAATATCAGCTAAGATCAGTACATCAGTCTTCACATACAAATCAGAATACTCACCTAAATTTTTAATGTTGAAGGTCTTCCATACTGTTTTGGCATGTGCATAGTCCTCGTGTGATATATCCGACTCAGTCATTTTGTTGTAAAATTCTTTTTTGTTGGGTAGTCGTGTTTCGTCACATTTATCCCACGAGTCCATATAATCATACGGATACACGCCTTTTCTGGTAACGAGGTCCAATTTGTCCTTGGGAAAGAATTTGGCTGTTTCTCTGAATTCTTTCACATTTTTGGCTAAACTATCAATGCTGCTAGCCATGAACTTAAAAGAATCCAGAAACCTCAACTTTATTCCGGGTAGCTTGACCTTTTTACCATCACCTGCATCTACCCATTCCGCTCCAACCTCTTTGCTGAATGAAATGTATTTTTCCTCAGTGTTTGGAATGACATCGATATTCCCATTATCACCACCTAGCTCTTTTATGAATAAATGAGAATCGTACCCAGATAAGTTGTGAATGAAGACAGGAATGAGGGAAGGGTATTGGTACATTAAGTTACATAATTTATGAGCTGGCCCTCTATAGTTTGATTCATGTTTGGATGGATCGAGTAAATGGTCATGATCCATTATTTTTTGGAAGTCCTCAGAGTCTTTCGGCGAATATGGTGATGGTACTTCTTTGATGTTAAACCCGCAGATATGACATATATGGGTTCTCTTGAAATGCCTGTCATCTTCATCAGTAATTTTGATTGGGTGCTTCTTATCATAAATTTTCTTTATCTCTAAGGCCTCAGCTTTCAACGTTTCGTAAAATACTTTAGTTGCATTTGGACCTCTATATGTGATAGGCGGTTTGTAGTCTCCGTGCTTATATTTAATGTAAAGTGAGAAACTCATGGGTTCATGTTTTTGGTACTTCTGCATGTAAGAGCTCTTGGGATCTGGCTGACATGTATCTATCTTAGTTGTTAAACTTTCAAAATCTGCATACATTACAAAAGGTGCTCGTAGCGATTTATGGTAATGTTTGAACTTTAATTTTGAATCTTTTTCAGGCATTACTATTTTAACAGCCTGATTTTTCTTACAATCCTTTTCATGCGTTTGAAGATCTTCCTCAGAGTGAAAAAATAACAGGCACCTTTCACATGGGTATACTCTTCCATTATGCTTGGTTAATTGCCCACATATTAATTTGGACATGTCTTTTATCCAACAGTAATGACTGTTCCCTTTCTCGTTTCTTATGTAAAGTAAATTGACATGCTTATCTACTTTATGCTTAGTTATTCTTAAGGGGTATATGTTAGTCTTTTCATCGTATGAGTATATGTTCACTGATATGTTATTCAATTTTTCGAACCTTTCGAGTACTCTGTCTTCCATCTTTACTGGGTATTCAATGCCTTCGAACTTTAGCTCATTTTCATATGGCTTATATTTGGTGACTCTTTGGGCATCTTTTTCTGCTGGATGTAGTGCAGACAGTATCGCCCATTTAAAAAACACTCATTATCATTCTCATTTTTTACGTTTATGACTGCTTTTTTAGCTTTAATCACTTTTGACAAATCAATGTAGGATGATCCTCTCAGTGGGGTGTACTTATTGATCCTCACCTCAAGACTTTTGATTCTAGCAAGCGTCCAACCTGAACCCCTTGCAACAAACTCCTCCATCTCCGTCAATAATTTTTGGATAACTGATCTGTAATAAGCTACCAAATCAGTTGATTCTAAGATGACTTCATTTTTTGTTTTGAAGTTTTTCTCCATTTCTGTCATCGTTTCATCTTTCCCTTTTTCATAGTCACAGAGAAATTGGAAATTAACCTTCAAGCCATGCAGCCTCTTCAGATGTTTTGTAATAAGACCCCGGACCAGTGATGAAACATCGTTCAAGAAGTCTTTGGGAAGCATCAGATTGTGCTCATTTTGGACATCATACGTCACCAAACGGTTTTCAAAAGCCGTATCAATTTCATTGGGGGTATATAGCCTTCTCTCTCGCGAATCTGAAAACAGGTCGGAATCAAATTCGAAGTGACGGTTGAACAAAACGCTTTCTATGTATGCTTTGATGTCTGCCTTCCTCCGTAGTTTGGAATAGCCTGCGATGCCACGCGATCGACAAAATTCACGTAGTTGGTTAATGGTCATATGATGCAGCCCCTGCATATTGTCAAAATCATCTCTGTGAACCTCCTGGCTGGCCTTCTTAGGCTTATAGTTTTGATGAGCTTTAGTTTGTAAGTGCTTATTTATGCTAGATTCCTTTATTAACTTTCCGCAACACCTGATTTTTAGCTCCCTCTTCTTCTTTCGCTTGATAAACAAGTCATTGTGGAACCTGGAAAAGCCGTTGTGGTATTGAATGAGGGCGATCAGTTCCACCTTTTTAAGTTTCGAGTATCCTCGAATATCATTTTCTCGACAGTAATCTTGTAACTGTCGAACTGTGTTTGATTGAAAATCCATTTTGTCTTTCTATATACTACAAACCTTCTCTTTAAATGCTTTTATTATTCACTAGGTATTATTAATCAATTACCCATTGTCTCTCCTTTGACGCTCTAGAAGCCATACATAATGGTGCACTGATGGTATAAATTAATACCCTCACTAAATATACCATGCCAGTGGATTATGTGGGGGACGAATGTCCCCTTGCAAAAGAAGCATGCGATGAAGAGGAAAAGTGGCGTTTGTAAAAGCGGCGTTTTGGAAAAGTAGCGTTTGTAAAAGTGGGTTCGATTTTAATGGAGGGTTGGAGAGCCATTGTTTTCTAAAAGTGGGTTCGATTTTAATGGAGGGTTGGAGAGCCATCACATTCTAAAAGTGGGTTCGATTTTAATGGAGGGTTGGAGAGCCATTGTTTTCTAAAAGTGGGTTCGATTTTAATGGAGGGTTGGAGAGAGCCATTGTTTCTAAAAGTGGGTTCGATTTTAATGGAGGGTTGGAGAGCCATTGTTTTCTAAAAGTGGGTTCGATTTAATGGAGGGTTGGAGAGCCATGTTTTTAAAAGTGGGTTCGATTTTAATGGAGGGTTGGAGAGCCATTGTTTTCTAAAAGTGGGTTCGATTTTAATGGAGGGTTTCGCAGTCATTGTTTCGCCCCCAAAGGTCACTGCGCCAGCTCTCTCATTTGTACACTACTCATGTTAAGCTTCACTTGATGCATTTCATCCGAGTTAATAATACAAGAAAAAGAAAGATCGATCTTTTCTGAACGTCCCGTAGAAAGAAATTATTTTTTCCCTTTGAAATGCAATCAGTCATAAAAGGTTTGTGCCATATTTTACTTCAGCTCAACTTTTGTCTGTCAGCTTTTGCTATTGCTATTACTTTCATTATAACCCTATCGCTTTTACCACTCGACCCCATAAAACAATAAACACTTTTCTTTCTTATACCATAAGATACTGAATAGTGGATGATGCATCAATCGATGACGACATTTGCTATATAATCTAGTTTGCTCAAGTGATTTGATAGACATGAAATAAAAAGACGGCTTTCTTAGAAATTCGATAGAAGATGGATAAGCAGAAAAATGTTTTGAGGTCTAGTATGTCTGAGCAAACATTAGATTAGTTTGCGGAAAAAGCTGAAAGTAATATCGAAAATAATTAACTAGAGCCGAGACGAAAGGTTTAGAGTTGTCCTTGCAAAAGACTGAAAGCGGTACTGACATAAAATCGAAATCTCAATGTATTATTACTTGTTTATACTTTGCCTTAAACAAAAGGAAGTTTTTTATCTCATTATTTCTTTTGCTTTCAGTATTGTTCCTTAATATATTTCGAACTGTTTATATCATCAGCTGTATTTTACAAAAACTGGCAGTTATAAAATCCGTGATACCTGAAATCTAAACTTATATAATTTATTGAGACAAAACTGCATGTAATATCGATATTTTATGTACTGCTACTCATATGAATTTACTTTAGCTAAAAAAAAATTTTCCAAATTATATGATTACACAAATTTGCTTTCTTTAAAGGTACCCAAGTATTAAGAAAGATTTCTGTTGCTATTTATTTAGATAAAACGTTGAAAAATAAATCCATATGCTAGTCTCAGTATTGCAAATTATTCTTTTGTAAATTAAGATGCATTAATTGCTTTATTCTCGATATATTTTTATAATATATTTTAATTACTATTATAAGAAATTATAGCATTGCCTGATGTGCGCTTTGGCGTAAATGGTTAGCGTTCCAGCTAGCAAGCAAAAGATCCATGGCTAGGTCCCGAGGAGATAGATCATAGTCGATCTCTTCCGTTCCCCAGCTCCACAGTGAACCCCGAACTAAAATAAGGTAGACGATAATTTTTCACTCTTATAATTTCTACATTATTTTCATGGAGGGGGAGGCGGAAGTATACAAAAGTTTACAAAATCTGGTTCTGTCTTGGATACTGCTTTGCAATCCTGTGGCTTCGTGAACAATGTTCATTTTCTCGGGTTCCTGAATAAAACCCTATCCCATTCTAGTGAAGTAATCGGTTTCCGAACGTTATTTAGCTAAGATTTGCAATCCTGTAGCGAAATAAAACTTGGGGGAAAGGGAGGAGAAGCAAAAGAAGAAGGTCAGAAAGTTAAATAGTAGAAAAGAAAAATAGGTGTAACTGACAGTAAACTGAAGATGAAAGAAAGTGTAAGAACAAAATGGAATATTTATTGTATTTATGTTTTATTTGGAATAAAACAAAAATTTAATAAACTTTCCATTTGTTCTTACACTTTCTTTCGTCCTCAACAGTTTATTGATGAAACGTTTATTAAATTTGTGTTTTAAGTACGTTCAGTCGTTACTAGATGGTGATTGACGCACAAATGTTAAAAAGCATTTATTTTAATATCGTTTGCAGCTGGAGAAAGCAAGAGATAGTAATAAGCTTTCTTACCTAATGTGCATTAAATAGACAAAAATATGGATGTAAAGTGCTTCACAATATCATGCTAAATGCTGATATTCGCTAATTAAACCAATATATAATGCAAAAATTATGCTGTAAAATTTTATTTCATATACGGATATAATAAAAGGAAACTTTTAGGGATTCTGAGTGGCCGATGCATAATTTAATGTTTAAAATAAGTTTTCTTTATTAAAATAATAATATATTTGAATATTTTTTTTAATCTCGAAGAAGTCTGTTATATTTCTTTTTTAACAGTACGTTGGCATTCTTTCTGGTGATATGGCAAATACTACCCAAAGTTATTTCTTCATTACATTCGAACTTATCTTTTTCGCCCAAGCATTCCTGCGCCCTTCCGTATAGCCATCTCTGATCCTTTGATTTCAATCTCCGCAATCCTCTTCTTATCCTTTCACTTTCTTCTTTTGTTTTTCTCGGTTAAGAAGAATATCTTAGTGTAATGAAACAGGGTAGCGTTCATTATTTTTGTCCTTTTCTATACCGATCTATAGCGGAAAAAATCGGAATTTCAAACTTATACTGACGAGAAATAATTTCAGCGAAGCCCACTAATATTTGCCTCTTTCATCGGGTGACTAATGTGTGTTATTATGACAAAGACGCGATGGCTATATGCCTAAGGGAAGGGATGCCTTTGTGGAGGAATTCGTAAAGTAAAACTGACCCGTTGTACTCGTACATGGTAAAAACCACAAAAACACCCACGCAGGCAGCCCGTTCGCGGGATTCGAACCTCGGACGGAATTACCAGTGTTCAGCGACTTTATCGCTCGGCCGCTGGTGGGCCCCATCATCGTGTTAAACCATCCTATTTTTTAATATCATCTATCAGTTTTGTGTTCCATAAATTAACTTTTATGGATAATTAAACCATAATTAATTATCCATAAAAGTTCCTTCCAGATTCTCTGTGTTAAAAACATGATTTCTTCTAGAAGTCTAGAGTTCTTCATCTACTTCCAGGCGTTTGAATTTGAGAACATCTATGAAAGAAAGAATCTATGTATAGTTTACATGAGAATAGCTGAAATTATTTTAACTTCTTTAAGATGTCCTTTTTTTTCGTAACGAAATCTTTATAAAACGGATTGCGTCTTAGAATCACAGTTTTTCCCTTCGAACACCCTAAATTTCTAGAGGTTTGCTCATGATATTCAGCGGTTTGTTTTTAAAAGCTTTGTTAGTTAAAAAAAAATGTTGCATCAAGAACGAATGTCGATAGTTAGAAGTTCACGTTTTACCAAATAATGTAATTCAGATCCCGATTTCTAGACTTAGTATCATGTTCTGAATGTTAAGTGGATCGTATCATTGATTAATACGGCATGATGGTTTTAAAGAATAAGTTATGAATGAACATATATAGCAAATTTAGTAAATTTATTGATTGATCGGTACTAATGAAGTTAATAATATCGAATAATATCATAATAAA